AATGGGATTCACAGTTGATACTGGTCAAAAATAAGTGTATGGAGTGAGAGTTTTGTCATAGAGAATGAATATTAGGCTGGAGCCAGAATAACTAGATTCTAATCACTCAGTTTTTGCATATATAAATGAAGGAATTGCATTAAATAAGTTCTAAGGTCCTTTCAGTGGAAGAAAGGCCTGGTGATCTGCTTCTGTAAAAACTACAACCAAGAAAACCCTATGAAGCAGTTCTACTCTGTAAAACATGGAGTCGCCATGAGTTGGAATCAACTGGACGACAATGGGTTTGGGTTGGTAAGATTCTTCAAAACTGTAAGAGTTGCAATTCCATTTTAAGAGTAGGTGGTCAAGGAACTGGGGCCAAGGACTACATATTAGAATGATGTTAACAGAAAACTACTTCACAAGGTGAGGAGGAGGCAATCGAGTTGTTGTTCTCCTCATTCACCCTAACTCTTGCTTTCCCTCCTTAAAATTACCCAGGCCCAAGACCCGATAAATATTCAATCCAAGAAGGCTAAAAATGAATAAGGATTTACAAACATCATTTTGCAAGATTACACTGCGTTATTTCATCATACAGTCAATAACTTAGCAAATATTTACTAAGCTTTATGCAAGGCACTCTTCTATGGAGAATATACAAATGAGCAATCACTGTACGGATTTATAATCTGGTAGACTGTCCTGCTCAGTGTTTGAATAAGGAAACACATAACCAAAACAAAATGGACAAGTTCCACAAGAGAGCTACAAAGTTCTGTTGAAACAACACAGCACTCTGGCTCGCAATCCTGGACCTGGAAGAGGTTAACATTCCCTCAGTTTCCTCATCTATAAAATGGGCATAATAATAGTACCTCCTTCATAAAGTTGTTTTAAGGATTAAATGAGATAATAGGCAAAAGCAGCTCAGAACAAAACCTGGTATATAATTAAACATTTGGTAAATGTCAGCTATTATGGGAATTAAGAAGGTTAAGTGGTTAATTTAGCTTTGGAGAATGGGTAAATTTCATAAGAAGGCAGTGTTTGAACTGGGCCTTGAAAGATGAGTAAGTAGCTGGATAAGTGGGGAAGAGGAAGAAGGGAGGAACAAGAAGGAAAGAAATCATTACTATAGTTGTTAGGTGCCATCGAGTCAGTTCCAACTCATAGCGACCTTATGTACAACAGAACAAAACACTGTCCGGTCCTGTGCCATCCTCACAATCATTGCTATGTTTGAGCCCATTGTTGCAGCCCCTGTGTCAACCCATCTCATCGAGGGTCTTCCTCTTTTTCACTGACCCCCTGCTTTACCAAGCATGATGTCCTTTTCCAGGGACTGGTCCCTCCTGATAATATGTCCAAAGTAGGTGAGATGAAGTCTCGCCAACCTCACTTCTAAGAAGCATTCTGGCTGTACTTTTTCCAAGACAGATTTGTTCGTTCTCCTGGCAGTCCATGGTATATTCAATATTCTTCACCAACACCATAATTCAAAGGCATCAGTTCTTCTATCTTCCTTATTCATTGTCCAGCTTTCACATGCATATGAGGTGACTGAAAATACCATGGCTTAGGTCAGGCGCACCTTAGTCCTCAAAGTGACATCTTTGCTTTTTAACACTTTAAAGAGGTATTTTGCAGCAGATTTGCCCAATGAAATATGTCGTTTGAGTTTCTGACTGCTGCTTCCATGGGTGTTGATGGTGGATCCAGGTAAAATGAAATCTTGACAACGTCAACATTTTCTCTGTTTCTCATGATGTTGCTTATTGGTCCAGTTGTGAGGATTTCTGTTACTACAGTAAGCAGTTTCAATTTGGCTGGAGTGGAAAGTTTCTTAATAGAAATGGTGGCTTGCAAAGCAGTTCAGAGCTCCAGTGTAGACGTTTAATATAGATCACTTAAAACTTTTACATTGATTTTCCTTCATCTCCAGTCATGTCATAGTAGTTTAAAAAATATATATTAAACATTACCAATATAGATACGTAGTCAGCGTTATAGCATATAACCAAAAACCAAACCCGCTGCTGTCAAGTCAATTCCGACTCATAGCAACCCGATCAGACAGAATAGAACTGCCCCATAGGGTTTCCGAAGAGTGGCTGGTGGATTTGAACTGCCGATCTTTTGGTTAGCAGCTGTGGCTCTTAACCACTGTGCCACCAGGGCTCCTTATAGCATATAGGGGTAAGGTAGGCCCAAACATCTAAATCCAAAAACCTTATGTGTTTTTTCTGACCCTTTCTGGAAGCAATCTATCTGAAAAAACACGGGTCTGGTTAATGTGCTCAACTGCTAACCAAAGGTTGGTGGTTTGAGCCCACCCAGAGGAACCATGAAAGAAAGGACTGGAGATCTACTTCCGAAAAATCAGCCACTAAAAATCCCATGGGACACACTTCTATTCTGATACACATGGGGTCGCCATGAGTCAACATGAAGGCAACTGGAAAAACAAAAACCAAAAAAACGAGTTCCAAGCCAGGTTAAAGTTACATAATATCTCTGGGCCTTAATTTCCTCTTATAAAAATATACGCTACTCTTACTTCAGGATGGATGGACAGAAGAAACATTGAGATGGCGGGAAGGCCATTCTTGGATGGGAAAAACTTGCCAACCTCCTTGAGTTGTTATAAGATACAAATGCAGAATGTACATGAAAGCACTTTATATCACTGATAAGCAGTGATATAAACACAAGGTCTGTTTCCTACATAGCAGAAAGAGAAAGGCGGGAACTCCAAATAAAGTGGCAGTATAAGGTAAAAAGAATATGAGCTTTGGAGTTAGACCCTCTTAGATTTGAATCTGCTCGGTTCTGTCATTCATCAGCTCTGTGGCCTCAAGCAAAATAGGCAGAAACTGCTATGGTTCTTTCATGCTTCTGTTGGAATTTTATCAAATGGGCAACATGAGTCTTGGCTATCTGAATCCTGTAACCCTGTTTCCCTTCACTGCTTCAGCCACTTAGAAGCAGATGCAGCATCTAATGATATATGTTTCAGTGTATTTAACTCTTAAAGAGTCGGAACCAGCTTGATGGCAACTGATTAGGTTAGGTTAGTTTCAACTTACTGCTTTGATCCTTTTCCTCCTTTTTGGGAGCTGTTTTTTTTTTTTTTTTTTGAAAGATCTCATGTCCCGCCCACCCCACCCCCCTTTTTTTCCCTTGGAATGAGGCTGAGCCTAAAAACTAATTAATCATAATTCTATCTCTTCTATCAGACCTCTCTTGACTCCCCTAACATAATCTGTTGGACTTCTTTGTATGCCCTGTTCATTTTAAGTTCAATAAATGGTTCTTAAATTAATAATGGAGCCCTGGTGGCACAGTGGTTAAGAGCTCGGCTACTAACCAAAAGATCAGCAGTTTGAATCCACCAGCCGCTCCCTGGAAACCCTATCGGGCAGTTCTACTCCGTCCTGTAGGGTCACTATGAATCGGAATCGACTGGACGGCAACAGGTTTGGATTTTTTGGGTCACATTAATAATACTAAAAAGTTTACAATTTAACTGGTAAATATCAGAAACATTCAGATGCTATTAGCTGAGTCTAGACCCATTAAAAACAAAATTTTATTATACGTTCTCAGGGCACTAATAACAGTAATATTTTAATTTGTTAAGCCCTTTATAGTCTTCTAAATTTATCTGCATGTAATATATCACCTGGTCCTCACTGCATCCTTGTGACATTGGTTTGTTAGGTATTATTTGCCATTTTACACACAGGAGAAGGGACCTGGCAGTTCTCTCCATGGTGTGGCACAGTCAGAGTATAGGACAAGTCCTCCACTTCTAACTCAGAAATTCAACTACACTGTCTCTGGGGAATTCTAGAACCAGGCTTGAAAAAACAGAAACTAAAGCAGCTGACTTTTTCAAACAATATGGAAATGAATTACAAATGGGAATATCTATGAAGGAATCATATATAATACCAATCAATTGGCAAGATGTTAAAATAGACTCCATCAAATATAAAAAAAATAATGAATGCATGTATCCCATATGCATGAAATATTTCCATTGTATTCCTGCTATCCAACCTCATCTCGAATATACCAGAACATATTCTCAAATATGGTTATAAAGGGACTTCATTATTCGGAGGGCACTGCAAACAATATCACAAAAAATGCAATATAGTATTTATCCCATGTACTATAATGAACTGTAGATGGGAGTGAGCCCCACTCTGCCCCTTGCTCCTCCACACTCGGCCCAAGAGATGATTCTGATCAACAGACGTCCAAGGTCCACATTATTTACTCTTTTTACTGTGCACATAGGTCAAATACTCTTTGCTAATAAAATCAACTGGCCTTTATTATCCCTGGGACCTGATGATAAGGATTATCACCTTGATAATACCCTACTTTGTTTATCACGAAAAAGTAACTTATCTTCGTTGGGTGCTACCAGTAATTTCAGGATTACTAGCACACTCTTTGAAAAAAAGACAATTATAAAAAGCGTCCAAAGGGCATCACGGGCTTGGCCAACCCGGCCACAAGTCCTCGCGCCAGGCAGGACCGAAGTAGAGGGTGTCAGTGCCCAGAATATAAAGTAACTGACTGCTGGTCCATCTCGCAGCCAGGGCTCAGGGTGGGGTGGCGCCAGGCAAGCCCCCGGCTCGTAGTGGCCGAGACAGCGGCTCCGCGGCCCAGGGGAGGATCGGGGACGCCACGGGACTGGGGTCGTGACCTTGAGAGCCCCTCGGCGGTCCGGGGGAGGTTCGGGACGGACACCGGGCTGGGGAGTGGCGACTGCCTCTAGGCGGCCCGTGGGAATCTCGGGGCTGATACTGCGCGGGGCAGGGGCAGCCTCCGCCCCTCTGCGGCCCCGCGGGTGGCTCAGCCGCGCGTGGGTCGTCCCCTCCCCGGGCGCCTCCAGCCGCGGGGCCGCGGCGCACCTGGGGCCGGGATTCCCGGAGACAGCAGTTGGGACCGCCCCTCTGCCGCCTCGGAGGCGCGGGCAGCGGGCGGGCATAGGGCCCTACCTCCTCGGTGGCCGTGGGGCAGTAGGAGATGAGCACGAGCGTGGTGAGCAGGTTGATGGCGAGCCCGAGGAGGGTGATGGAATTGGGGGCCATCCACAGCGGGATCCACTGGAGCAGCCAGGTCCAGTAGAGCTGCAGCGGCGGCTCGAGCAGCGACACGCCGGCGGCGTTGTAGCGGTGCTCCTCCAGCCGCCGCAGTTGCGCCGCGCTCAGCGGCTCCGCCAGCGTCTTCAGCCAGCGCGGCGCCGGCCTGGCCCC